GAGGAGAGAGAGAGAGAGAGAGAGAGAGAGGAGAGGAGAGAGAGAGAGAGATCGGCTTGTACCGATGGGAGCCGAATGTCAACACAAGGAATACCTGCTTGTAATGACGAGCCCGCACGGTCTTTAGAACAGAACTGCGAGAGGCGCACACGGTCCGCGGCGCAGCGTTAGTGAGCTGCCGGAGCCAGCACTGACCGTTTGCGGTACTCGACGACAAAGTAGAGGATCGGGCAGCCGCCGTTCTTCCACGTGTTGAGGTGCAGCTCGACGCTCTTGGCCTGGATGCGCAGGAAGCGGTCGGCCGGCGGCATGGTCGGCGCCTGGCCCTTGGTGCGAGTGGTGAGCACGGCCGACTGCTCGCCGGGACCACCCTGCGGCAGCCGCCACACACACGCCGGTCAGTGGGGGCGGCCGTCCGAGACACAACGGTCACCAGCGGTCACTGCTCGCCGGGACCCACCGTGCGGCAGTCGTCACACATATTATACCTACACTCTACAGGTCACCAGCGGTCACAGCAGACTGCTCGCCGGGACCCACCCTGCGGCAGTCGTCACACACATACACACCGGTCAGTGGGGACTGGCAGCCGTCAGACATATACAGGTCACTGCTCGACGGGACCCACCCTGCAGCAGCCGTCAGACACTGCAGCCCCAAGTGACTGGGGGGCGGGGGCTGGCAGTCGTCACACACACACCGGTCAGTGGAGAGTGGGGACCCAAAGTAGAGACCCGCTCTGCGGCAGTCGTCAGTTGTCACACATCGGACAGATCAGTCACCGGGGCCCCGCTCAGCGTGGGAAGATGGAACAGCCCTGGATTTAAATCAACCGCCGAAAACAAGGCAAACTTGCATTTTGCATGGAACACGCCAGGCACTAGTACTACGATCATAGCTGGCCGATATTTCGACGCAACAACCCGTCGCGCCGCTGGTGTAGTGGTATCATGCAAGATTCCCATTCTTGCGACCCGGGTTCGATTCCCGGGCGGCGCACGGTTTTCGACCCGCTGCCGGTGACCTGTAACAGGGCACCAGGAGGGCGCCCGGCTGCCCCTGCCCGCTCTCTCACCCGTTGAAGGCGGTGGCGTAGATCTGGTGTTTGGTTCCGCACCAGGGGCTCTCCAGGGTGAACGACCGCGCCTGGAATCCACGGCAGGACACTCATCAGCACCATGTACAAGTTAAGACGACACACCACGGCTAGCGACAAATAGAACAAAAAGTAGAATAACTCATTTGCGGCCGATCAGTCGAGCCTTTAACAATGTGTCCACGTTATTTATCTGTTATGCGTATCGAAGTGGGTCGGCACTCGGCAGGCAGCGTGATTATTTATTCTCCGCTCCGACTCTGCCCCCCCCCCCCCCCCCTGTACCGGGACCGGCGCCGTGTCCAGCTCTCGGCCCGTGTCCTCTGGCGAGTGGAGCTCTCACCTTTTTGGGCACCTGGACGGTCTCCCACTCGCCGAAGGCGGCCTTGTAGTGCAGCGTGAAGCCGAACAGCGGTACAGAGTCGTTGGGGTCGGGCTTGAGGCGCACCTCGATCGAGTTGTTGGATGATCCGATCAGCAGCACCTCGGGCGGGTACGGGGGCGCTGACGGACCAGGGCGGGGGGGGGGGGGGTCAGCCGGGCAACGGGGCGCGTACACACGCACCAACGGGCACAGGGAGTAGCCATCACAGTTTAGTTCCACCAAACAGCCTGTCTTGCAAACAAACCAAACACCCATGTTCAGCCCCAACCCCCTCTCCCGCGGCCGGTCAGGCACCCGCCTCACCCTGGACGACCAGCTTGTGGGAGACGGTGTCCTGTCCGAACTGGTTTTTGGCGATACACGAGTACTCGCCGCGGTCGCCGCGCTGCACGCCGCGAATCTGCAGTGAGCCCTGTAAGGCAGAGAGGTCAGGGTCAGTGGTCAGGTCAGTGGTAGGTCAGTGGTCAAACTTTAAAGTCAGGTCAGTCAGAGGCCATTGGTCAAAGTCACTGGTAAAATATGGTCAGTTATTGGTCAGGGTTAGAGGTCAGTGATGGTCAGTTGTCAGTAGTCAGAGGTGAGTGCCGAGTGGTCAGTCGAGGTCAGCGGTCAGTGGTCAGAGGCTAAGTCAGGGTCAGTGCTCAGGGTAAGAAGTAAGTGGTAAGAGACCAGAGCTCAGAGATCAGTCAGGTCAGTGGTCAGAGGTCAGGTCAGGGTTTGAAATTCATGCATTGACTGAATATTAGCCGTTATTGCATTCTGAACTGTCACCAAGTTCCGGTTACCGTCCTCACAGCACAGGCGGGTGTCAGGGCTGGCGGGGGTTGGGGCTGGGGTGGGATTACCAGTCTCACAACACAGCACCACTGTGTGGCGCACCGCCGCCCTCCCGGCTGGCGGGGGACCCACCTCGGGCATGATGCGCATCCGGTCGTTGGGCTGGAAGGGCTTTCCGTCGCGGTGCCAGGCGATGGTCGGCTGCGGCAGGCCCACGGCCAGACACGGCAGCTTGGCGTCCTGCTGGAAGTTCACCGTCAGCTCGTCGTCGAACGAGGCGATCCGGGCCGGAACTGAAACACGGCCGGCAGGGGCACGCGATGTCAGTATAATTACAGACGGGGGGACGGCGTCAGTGGCGAAGGACAGAGGGTTCTGTATCAGTGACGTGAGGAGAGGACTCGGCGCCAGCTCAAGGCCAGACCAGCCATTCGGTTCCAACGGAGCATGGCAGCCGGTCGTAGCGGCGGCTCCGGTGGCGCGCCGGCCACCGGCCACTCACCCTGGCTGCGCGGTGTGACCACTGCGCACTGAACACTCACCCTGGCTGCGTGGTGTGGCCACTGAGCACTGAGCACTGACCCTGGCTGGACGGGATGCCCAGGCCCACTGAGCACTCACCCTGGCTGGACGGGATGCCCACCGAGCACTCACCCTGGCTGCGGGGTGTGACGGTGACCTTGTTCGAGGGCGGCCCCTCGCCCATGCTGGTGTCAGCGTTCACCCAGAACTGGTAATTTTGCGTCTTTTTCAGCCCGCTGGCCCGGTAGGACTGCTGGAACGGCGTGACGCGGTGCATCTGCGGCTGTGGACGGAGTGCATGAGTGGTATTGGGTTAGCACTTTGCTCGAATGTAAATAAGGCGAACCACAACATTTCAGATTTCAGACCATAAATGAGACGTGTGCCGCAGCCCCCAGTCGGTCAAACCTCACCCAGCCCAACGCTGCAGTGTGCTACAACAGGCCGCATCCTCACCGACACCTCAGGACCAGTATTACAGCCGGCAGCCCCGACCCGCACTGCCGTCAGAGCGGTACCCTATCACAGGGCGGCAAGCTGCCAGAGGCTGCGGTACGCCGCCAGCAGTGAGTACGCTGCCGCCAGAGGCCCAGTGCGCCGGCACTCACCTCTCGGCTGCCCTCCTCCATGAAGTAGACGGTGTAGCGTTTGATGATGCCGTTGGGGTTCTCCGGCTGCCGCCAGCTCACCAGGATGCTGTCGGACGACATGGCCAGCGCCTTGATGGCCGCAGGCGCCTCGGGCACTGCGGCGAACAGAGACGGACGGGGTCAGGGGCAGCGGCAGAGACGGACAGTCAGGGGCCGCAGCACAGATACGAGCACGTTCAGGGGCAGCGGCACTGAGACGGGCGCCGTCAGGGACTGAGGACCAAAGGCGGCCAGGAACTGGTCCGAGGCGGCCAGCGAGGGACATACTATGTGCATCCCCAGGTGGAAGGGGTACATCGCAGCGTGGGGCTGGCACTGGGGAAGAGCGCTGCAGCTAGTCCCTGTATACCCACCCCGGTACACCCGCTGTACACCCACCGTCCCCTGTATACCCCCTGTACACCCCGGTACACCCGCTGTACACCCACCGTCCTCCTCTGTGCGGCAGATGGCTGATCGGCTGCGCGGCACGTCCTTACTGTAAGTACACCCCACTGTACACCCCCTGAGCACCCACCGTCCTCCTCTGTGCGGCAGATGGCTGATCGGCTGCGCGGTCCGTCCTTACTGTAAGTACACCCCACTGTACACCCACCGTCCTCCTCTGTGCGGCAGATGGCTGATCGGCTGCGCGGTCCGTCCTTACTGTAAGTACACCCCACTGTACACCCGCTGAGCACCCACCGTCCTCCTCTGTGCGGCAGATGGCTGATCGGCTGCGCGGCCCGTCCTTACTGTAAGTACACCCCACTGTACACCCCCTGAGCACCCACCGTCCTCCTCTGTGCGGCAGATGGCTGATCGGCTGCGCGGCCCGTCGCCGCCGCCCGTGTAGGCCAGCACGGTGATGTTGTACTCGGTGTACTTTTTCAGACCCGTCAGCAGAGTCTCGGTGCTCGTCGACTTGGCCATGTCGATCGTACTGTCATCTGCGGCGGAGACGGTCACACTGGTCAGACGGTATGCGGTTACAGGTCAGATGTCAAAGGTAAGAGGTCCGACGATTAGAGGTCAGACGATGCCTAGAGGCTTTAACAGACCGTTTCCTCAGCCGGGAAATCGCATGCGAGAGCCTATTAAGCTACATTAAATCACGCTCGCATCAATCGTACGCACTTCCCGCATGCGATTTATGCGAACAAGATTTTAATGTATTTGAACAGGCGTTCGCAGGCGATTTCTCGATTGCGAGCCCTAATGCCGGTATCCCAATCAACTGATTCATTCATTTCACCAAACATGCAGGCCTCCAATCTAAGGACCGGCGCCGCGGCTGCCGCCTTTTCGCTCTACTCACCGTACCAGGTGCTGCTGGGTCCGTACATGACCTTGTAGCCGCGGATGACGCCGTTGGTGGCGCCGGCCGGCGGCGGCGTCCAGCTGGCGCGGATCGAGTCCGACGTCAGCGTGCGGCATGTGATCTCCTGCGGCGGCGCCGACGGCACGCCCTCGGCCGTGAACTGGCGCTGCTCCTCCGACTGCGGCCCAGAGCCCTGGCTGTTGAACGCCTGCACCACCACCTCGTACTCGCGGAACTCCCTGTCAGAGAGGGGCACGGGTTACGTACCCGCGGAACTGCCTCCCAAAGAGGGGACTGCTCGGGTGAGGGGACAGCGGAACCACCTGTGACGGCGACCAGTGCGGACAGGCCCGAATATATCCTCGGCGTAAGTAATGGCTGTTAAATGGGCACCAGCAGGCTCTAGACGAAAGGGTGATGGGACTTGTGCCAAAACTGTGCCAATATTGCAATACATAATTGATGGTTCGTGAATCGTGATACACACTCCGTCTCTGAAATATGATGATGTCTGATATCTTCTTAACACATCCAAGCCATTAGATGGTTAATGAGGAAAAAAGATCGTGGCGAAATGAACCAGCGACCACGGCTGGGACAACTCGCAAAACACCGTCACTGATGTGCGCAGCGCCGTCACGTCACAGATGTGCATTGTGCATAGCGCCGTCACGTCACTGATGTGCGCAGTGCCGTCACGTACTCGAGTTTGGTGATGCTGACTTGGTGTTTGCGGGTGGCTTCGTTGGCGAACTCGAAGGTCTGGAAGGAGAAGCTGTTCTTGCTGTTGGACAGGCGGTGGCCCACGTAGTAGCCCTGCGGAGACAGTGAAGGGCGGTCAGAGTCGTGGAGGGCCGAAGGTGTTGTTACTTTACAGCAGACTCGTTGTCATGAACCAGCCGCTAAACTGAACAGCGGCCCGCGAGCGCAATCCTAACAAGGAAAATATGACGAGTCACACTCAGTCTATGTAATACAGTCGGACGTACAAATCCCCCATCGGTCCGCCACCCTCCCCACGGTTCGGCCGGCTCTCCTTTCCGTACCAGCACTTCCCCGTTGAGCAGCTCGTCGCTGGGCGGTTTCCATGTGACGAGCAGGCCGCGCTCCAGCGGCTCCACCACCACGGCCGTGGGCGGCCCGGCCGGCGGCTCCTCAGAGGTGACGATCGTCACCACCTCCGACGGCTCCGACGGGCCCACCTGTGCAGGGAGCGGGGAGGCAGGTCAGCACGGGGTCGCACGGGTCAGCACTGGTCAGTGGTCACTGCAGTTACCCCTCCAACGGGCCCACTTGTCGGCACCGATCAATACGGGGTCAGGACGAGTCACTGCGCAGTGCACACTGCACAGCTAGACACACCATCGGTCATGGGTCCACAGTGACTCAACAGGGCATGCACTGCGTGAAACTTCAATAGGACCAACAGTAAAACGAGCATCTTACAAAGCAGCGAATCGCCCTAATTGTCCGCAGCGTGCGATCTGTTATGTTTTTAAATCGTCAGTGTGCTAAATCCTTTCCTAATACAGTCCATAATTAGCAATTACCTCGAATTAGTTCCTAATTCACATTACCAGTCATGCAGTGTTTGTCGGTTGTCTGTTTGGGGCCCCGGTTCTGTCTGGGTTTGTTACCTCGTTTTCGGCGATGATCCTCATCTGGTAGGCGGTGGCCGGCCGGAGGTCCATGACGGACACGATCTCCATCTTACCAGGGATCACCACGCGCTCCATCTCCTTAGAGTCCCACTCGTCTGCCGGGCGGGCGGGCGCGGGCGTCACACGGCCGTCACAGCAGTCACAGCGTCGCACAGAGCGTCACAGCGGCACACAGACCGCCACAGCGTCACACAACCCTCACACACTGCTGCCAACCGCACTGAACAAAGGGACAGGGAGAGTGGCGGCGGACAATGGCTACATTTCGATGGGGTATCTTTGCCGGGTCTTTTGCAAGCGATACTGTCACCAAGGATCGATCGCTCTGCTACCGACAACACGGACGCCCCCTGCATTTGCCCAGTGCACAGGCCGGCACCTACCCTTGGCCTTTTTGTACTGGATGATGTACTGGAAGATGTCCGAGTTGCCGTTGTAGGGCGCGCTCCAGGAGAGCTCCACAGAGCGGCCGGACTTGTTCAGCACTTTGATGGCGAACGGCACCTCGGGCTTCTCTGTGGACGGGAAAACAACGGTCAGCGACGAACTCCTCTGCGCACGGCAAGACCAACACACCTGTCTAACAGCTAGAGTTGGTACTGAAAACGCACAGATAATGGAGACGCGTTTGTTAAGCTAATTTTCGTCACCTTTGAGTGAGTAAGAGGGCTTTACACGATTTCCACCCCGTGGGTACGCAGTCACAGTCTCTCCCTGGTTACACATACAATGCGTCTCACCCTGGACGATGAGGTTGATGGTGGTGTTGTCCTGGCCGAACGGGTTGCTGGCCACACAGGTGTAGGTGGCCGAGTCGCGCCGGCTCGTCTCCTGCAGGCTGAGGTCGGAGCTGGCGCCGCCGTCCGTCTTCTGCTGGCGGATCGTGTAGCGCGGCGACGGCTCGCGCGCGCTCAGCGCCGCCCCGTTACGGCTCCATTTGATGGTGATGGGCTGCTCGCCGCGCGCCTCGCAGACCAGCACGGCCGGGTCGCCCAGGCGCGCCGTCTGGTTCCGCAGCTTGATCTCAAAGTGGGGCGGCGCTGCCGGCGGCCGGGCCCGTCACAGGCACGTACCACATACACAGCACACACACAGATGACAGAGGTGAATGTGGGACCAGAGTAGGCCACTAGAAAATGTCCGTTTACTACGCATATAACTCATCCACGGCGAAATACCTCACGTGTCACCCGCAACGAATCAAGCCAAGTCTCAATCCATGTAAATCTTACTAGCAAAAGCGCAGTGACATTTAAGCCGCACCCCAAGTCCTAACTATGCCTACCCTCGCCTACCCGCCCAGACTCGCCCGTCCAGACTCCACCTACCGCTGGACCCCCACCCCGGCTCACTCTGCGAGTACCCACCGACCCGGACCACAGCACGCCCACCATCATCTCCGCCTACCCTGTACGTTGACGTAGATGACGGCGGAGAGTGTGGGCCCGATCTGGTTGTCGGCCTCGCACAGGTAGTAGCCCTCGTCGCGCTTCTGGATGCTGTTGATGACCAGTGTGCCGTCGTCGCGCACCTGAATACTGCTGTCCGAGTGTCCCAGCGCCCGGTAGTCCTCGGGCCGCGAGCCTGCGCGGGCACCGAGACACGGCGGTCAGCAGACTTATAGGACCAGACACAGACACGGCGGTCAGCAGACTTATAGGACCAGACACAGACACGGCGGTCAGCAGACTTATAGGACCAGACACAGACACGGCGGTCAGCAGACTTATAGGACCAGACACAGACACGGCGGTCAGCAGACTTATAGGACCAGACACAGACACGGCGGTCAGCAGACTTATAGGACCAGACACAGACACGGCGGTCAGCAGACTTATAGGACCAGACACAGACACGGCGGTCAGCAGACTTAGACAGGCCACGGCATGGCGGTCAGCAGACTCACAGGGATCAGGGACGGCAGAGACTCACAGGGGCCAGACACGGCAGTTAAGAGACTCAGAGTCCACGGCACTATCCAAGACAGTCAGATCAACACTCAACATTCCACTGGCTCTGATGTGAAATAAAATTCGCATATTCATGGCAAAGCACAAAGCAAGCAGCCAGTAACTAAACACAGGTCCCTTCTGACAGACCCCTTGTTGCAGCACTGTTGGCCCGTTGAACACGACTGCTGTATTCCGCCGCCGCTGCCCAGCACCGCTCCGTCGCTCGGTGTGTCTCGGTGCTTACCTGCGGCCTTTTTCCAGGCCATGCGCGGCTTGGGGAAGCCGTCGGCCTTGCACTGGATCTCGGCGGTGCTGCTCAGCGCGAACTCCTTGTCGGTGGGCTCGATGATCCAGCGGGGCGGCACTGCGGGCCGCCGGGCGGGGGTCAGCGGGGGCGGGGGTCAGCGGGCGGGGGCGGGGGCGGACCTCCACAGCCGCCCGGCGGAGCGCTACACACCGCGCACCAGGACCAGCTCCAGTCACCCCAGCCGAGCACACCGGCTGCCCTTCAGTGATTTATTGTGAACAGATATAACGCCGTAATTAAATAGACGGCACGAGCTTGGAACTGGTCCTGGCTATCACAGTGCAAACAACAATGGCTTATGGCACGATTTCTTTTAAAGATAATTTGAGTTCAATTATGAATAAAAATAATTGACTACAAAACTTTCGCACAAGCGTAAAGACTTCTTCATTTACGTTAACTTAAACAAGAATGATAATGAAGGTATCAAAATTTAAGCTAGGGCCCCAACTAGTTATATACGTTACACTTGAACTAAGTGGAGTACAATATGTCTACAAACAAGACAAGACGCCTCTTCCACAACTGCCTTTTCACAGTCACAAACGCCGTGACAAATTAAAGCCGCCATCTCACGACCCAGTCAGTTTACCAGAGTCCTGGGCAGTTGTGGAGGGGCGCGGTGGTCGCCTTCCCTCGCACACTCAATGTGTCATATAGAGTGAGGTGCGGCATGCATTAGGTACGTTACGTTATAGTACGTTACGAGGGATGGGCGACCACCAACACAGAACAACATGCAGCATGCGGTGTGAGTAGATGGGGCAAGAAAAGAGAGAAACGGGGTGATAGAGGGGCGAGAGACAGAGCAGGATGGGGACAGGAGTGCCTCCTTCAACAAAAGTAAACTAAAATTCATAATATTGCCTTTGACCACCAGTCATTAAGCAATTAAACAAAAAAGTAAAATGAAATGTTAAAATGCCTGCAAAAACATAGATACCAGAACTTAAAAGTGACCAAATGAGCAAACTATCGAGACCGGCCGAGCCATCTGTCCACCGGACGGTGATGATCCAGGGGCCGATGAATATGGCCGACGTCTGCCCTTCCCAGGCGGCGTCCCATCTGCTGCGTACGGGTTCACCGACCACAGAGCGGGAGAACATATCACGTCCGACGTCTCCAGCACGGGTCAGGTCGGCGGCAAGTCACGGCCTCAGCCCCGGCGTCAGCTGCACGACGCTGAGCCCGGGCAGTGGAACCCGGCACCCCGGTGTGATGGGGACAGTCGTCACTGAGACGGAACTCTGCAATAGCTGGCTTCCATCAGTCTGATCACGGCAGCCCTGGTGTCATTCTGATAATCATTTCATGTACGCCCAGAAGGTCCTCCAAACCAAAGTACAGTGCATCTCTGATCACTAAAAAGAGTGGAGAAACCCATAGGCTACTGCGACGAGACGACCCCTAACTTTGTTCACTCAGTCAAGGCATGGAATGGAGGTGTAACAAATGATATGAATGATGTTTTGAAACCACCCATATCTAATGGAATGAATGCTTAGCATCTCTTGATAAGCAGGACCTCTTCACCCTTCACTAATCAAACATGAATAGCATATAAACCGACCAGTGAGGTACGAGATAGAAAAAAGCAGGCAAATCAGCTAAATGAATATCAGAGCACAAACCATTTGACAGAATCGAGTCACTATGGGCACCAAACGGCCAATTATGGATGAAGGGAGGAATTACAACTGTTAAAAATCCTCATGAAGAGGACACTACTGATTTCAGCTACAAACTTGCCGGAGAGGACAGGTTGTTATTCAAACCAGCATGGGCAGTAAAGTGAAGAGTTTAGCTCGGGTCATCGGTCGACTGGAGCCGCCTGACCCCCAGAACAACGCAGCTGCATCGAAAGGCGCGGCACCGGCATCGAAAGGCATGGTAAGGTGGAACCGGGCAGATCCCAGACAGAGTGGCCAGGAAGGGGACACCGGAAAGGCCAGGAGCCCGACGCAAATTAGTTAGACCATGGGAGAATGAAGCATGACCCTAACTAACCCTTAACAACGAGCGTGGTTGCGACGGTGGCCTCTCCGGCGGCGTTTCTGGCCCGGCAGGTGTAGGTGCCCGAGTGTCCGTGCGACACGTCGCGGATCAGGAGGATGCTCGTGCGCCGCCCCACCGACTGCGTGACAAAGCCGCGATCCATGGGCAGCTGCTTGCCGTGGAACGTCCATTGAATGGACAAGGGCGTGTCGCCCTTGTACACGTTACAAGTCAGCGAGACGTCGTCACCGGCGTTCAGAGCGTCCTCGACTCCGTAAACGGCCAGCTCGGGTGGCACTGAAAACCAACGAATGATGCGAAAGATGCGTTAGCCAGTGGAATAAAGAGTTAAAACAAGGCGTTGATGAGGATACCTTTAGAAGGAACTGACAGAGGTTTGAAGCGGAGGTCTCCGGCGGACGGGCGCACTGACCCCTGACCACGAGTGCAGTGGCCACGGCGGCCTCTCCGGCGGCGTTGCGCGCCCGGCACGTGTAGGTGCCCGAGTGTCCGTGCGACACGTCCCGGATCAGCAGGTAGCTGGAGCGCGGGCCCACCGGCTGCGTGCTGAGCTGCCGGTCCATCGCCAGCTGCTTGCCGTGGAACGTCCACGATATGGAGAGCGGCGTGTCGCCCTTGAAGGCGTTACATGACAGCGAGACGTCGTCGCCCGCGTTCAGGGCTTCCTCGGCTCCGTACACGGCCAGCTCGGGTGGAACTGCAATGGATGGTGTGGGAGACCAGACCAGTTAGACGCCTCCTAACAAAACATGGCACGCTGGTTGCTGAGAGAAGTAGAATACCACTGCTGGCTGGTACCAGAGGTTTGGATGGCGTGGATGAGGTCTGAAATATATCGTCAAGGATGTCCAGTAGGATCCAGTGATCAGTTAAAGGACACTTAACTAAATGAGAATCTGATCACCAGAAAACTGGGCGCTGCCACTGACCCTTGACGACCAGCGGCACGGCAATGGACGCCTCCCCGGCGGCGTTTTTGGCCAGACAGGTGTACGTCCCCGAGTGTCCGTGGGCGACTCCCCGGATCAGCAGGATCCGGGTCCGGGCACCAAATGTCTGCGTGACGAACTGCCGGTCCATGGGCAGCTGCTTGCCGTGGAACGTCCACGAGATGGACAGCGGCGTGTCGCCCTTGTACACGTTACAAGTCAGGGAGACGTCGTCGCCGGCGTTAAGGTCATCCTCGATCCCATACACACTCAGTTCCGGTGGGACTGGAAACGAAAAAATATTGCACAGGTGACACCAATGTGGTAAAATAAAGAGCCGTATGAATGTTTTGCAGTTCTTGTGCGCGGCTAGGTGCGCACATTAAACTTTGGACTCTAAATTCGGCCATAGAACTGGAATTGCGCGATCGGAGGGTAGAGGGCAGGGTCAACGCAACAAGCTTCGCTTAGCGGTGGCTCTGTCCTTGTGAATGATTCCTATAAAAAGGTTCCGAATAAATTTATTTAAAAAAAAATGTTTCACACCAGAGACAATCTTCCAGACCTAAAAAAAATTGTTTTACGAACTGTGAGGAAATATAAGAGAGAAGCCAGAGATACAACCATTATCTGACCAAAGAGCACCACTTCCGACCTGAAACTGTTCCTATGTCCAACCGAGCCTGGCGGACGGCCCGCTCAGAGTAAAGGTGTTCCGACCGAACCGTGCATGCCAGCGCTGAGAAATACATACTGTCGCCTGTAAGACACCAGCGGCTCAGTACCTACTGCAAATGAGCCACAAGCCGTGACGTGGTAACTGGTATTCCACGCCACTAGCTTCATGGGGAACCGAAAGTCGATGTGATACCACGTACACTTCAAAGTTAGGTTTTCGAGCAAACAAATCAAACGAAGAGGCAAGCGAGAGGAAATAGAGGTTATATTATCAGTGGGAGGCAATACATAGGAGAGCCAGAAACCAAACCCTACAATCGAACGGCTGCAAACTAACCCTTGACAACTAGAGGGATAGCGACTGATGTCTTTCCCGCCGTGTTCTTGGCCAGGCAGGTGTATGTTCCCGAGTGCCCGTGGGACACCCCTTTGATCAACAGGATGCTGGTGCGATCGCCAGCAGCAAGTGTGGTGAACTGCCGCTCCATGGGCAGCTGCCGGCCGTGGAACATCCACTGAATGGACACCGGCGTGTCGCCCTTGTACACGTTACAAGTCAGGGAGACGTCGTCGCCGGCGTTCAGAGCGTCCTCGACTCCGTAAACGGCCAGCTCGGGTGGCACTGAAAACCATTGTACATAAATTACTTTGCAACTCGAAAAAAGCCAATCAAACCGAAACGAAACGTGGGGAGAGATGCAGGATTTGAGAAAATCAGGAAGACTGGAATGAGAAAAAGAAGCCGAACCGGTAAAGTGCACTGACAATTAAAACCCAGAACGCAGAAAGAGAGACTTAACTGACCCTTGACTACTAAGGACGCCGAGTAAGTTGTCTTGCCGGCGGCGTTTCTTGCAATACAAGTGTACGTGCCGGAATGGCCATGCTGCACCGATTCAATAGTGAGAATGTTGGTTCTTTGTCCGATGGACAGGGTGTTGAACTTCCGATCCATGGAGACATCGCGTCCGTGAAATGTCCACGAGATGGTCATCGGGGTGTCGCCCTTGTAGGCGTTGCAGTTGAGAGAGACCTCGTCACCAGCGCTCAGCGCCTCCGGAGACGGAAACGGAAAAATCTCCGGGGGCACTGGAAGAAGATACAGTACTGGAGTCAAGTGGTATAACCAAACCATTTAACCAGCTATTGAAGACAAACATTTCTTCTTGGGGGATTTCACCAGCCCCATATAGTTGAAACACCTACCCTGATGGATGTAACTGAAGCGAGGCGAGGCCACGGGACATTAAAAGGATATCGGGGCGAGGAGTGGGTCCTCTGGCGATCTCGAGTATCGTGGACTGACCCTTGACCACCAGCCTGGTGGAGTAGGACGTCTCCCCGGCCGCGTTGCTCGCTCTGCACGTGTACCGGCCCGAGTGGGCGTGCTGCACGGACGGGATCATGAGAATGTTGGTCCTGGCGCCGGCCGGCAGCGTGCTGAACTGGCGCTCCAGCACCGCCGACTCGCCGCCGTGGAACGTCCACCGGATCGACAGCGGCCTATCGCCCTTGTGGACGTTACACGGCAGGAACACCTCGTCCCCCGCGCTCAACGCGTCCGACACAGGAAACGGCAAAATCTCTGGCGGCACTGAAACGCATCAAATCAACAAATAAATATCTGGCGAAGCATTCAACAGAAATATAACCTTTCATCCTAATGAAGGAGGTGAGCTTGGAGACAAAAGGATATAAGACGCTGATTTACTTCGGGTCATGACGGCCATCGAATCTCCTCAGCGGGGTTTCTGGGACAGGAGAAGTGGAAGACCGCACTGACCCTTAACGACCAGCTTCGTCGAGTAGCGAGTCTCCCCGGCGGCGTTTTTGGCCAAACATGTGTATGTTCCTGAGTGGCCGTGAGACACCCCCTTGATGAGCAGGATACTGGTGCGGTCGCCAGCGGGAAGCGTGACAAACTCTCGGTCCATGGGAAGCTGCTTCCCGTGGAAGGTCCACATGATCGTCAGCGGTGTGTCGCCCTTGTAAACGTTGCAGTTCAGGGACACGTCGTCGCCTGCGCTCAGCTCTTCAGCCGTGGGTACCGGCAGGATTTGTGGAGGGACTGAAAAGATGCCCAGAACCATGTCAGGTCTACAACCAAGATAAAAAGAAAAAAACACGTTGGAGGCCCATGACTGAAGGAAAGGACGCCATAATATGTGACGCACTTGTCCAGATAAAAGGAAGCCAGTCACTCAAGGAAAATGAAAAGCGGAAAGAGGAGCAAGGAATACTGAGGCATCAGTTAACGCGTGAACATGTTGGCATGCCGCCCAGCCCGGAGCACAACTGACCCCTGACAACCAGCGAAGTGGACAGCTGTGTAGCGCCGGCGGCGTTCCGAGCTCTGCACGTGTACGTCCCCGAATGGCCATGAGACACAGACTTGACCAGAAGCATGCTGGTTCGATCGCCGAACGCCTGCGTGGTGAACTCCCTCTCCATGGAGACGTCGCGGCCGTGGAACGTCCACGAGATGGTCATCGGCGTGTCGCCTTTGTAGACGTAACACTGGAGACTGGCGTCATCACCGTCACTGAGCGCATCCAGAGCCGGGAATGGAAATATCTCCGGCGGAACTGGCGAACAAAGCAGTTTAAGATATTAACTATGTAGATCCACAACTGAGGCTGCTCTTCGACACTTTCGTTGGTGCCGCCACCAGTGTTCGTCAGAGACTGATGGCAGTGCGAGGAGAGGAAGGCGATTAGCGGAGAAGGGATGCGGAATGCGGAAGGACCATTGAGGACTGCCGAGGAGAGGTGTATGTAGCCACTGACCCTTGACCACCAGCTCGGTGGCGTAGGTGGCGCGTCCCGCCGCGTTGCGCGCCGTGCAGGTGTACGTTCCCGAGTGGCCGTGCTGGACGGACCTGATGAGCAGGATGTTGGTGCGGTCCCCGATCGCCTGCGTAGCCAGCTCGCGGTCCATGGACACGTCGCGCCCGTGGAACGTCCACCGGACCGTCATGGGCGTGTCGCCCTTGTAGGCGTTACACGGCAGATACACCTCGTCCCCGGCGCGCAGGGCGTCCGGCGTCGGGAACGGGAAGATCTGCGGCGGCTCTGGAACGTGCACCGACAGTCTGAGGAGACGTCGTCACGCCTGCAGCGACGGGCACAGCACTGCCTCCGAAGTTCGAACGACCGCAGTGTATGCAAGCCTGCTGGAGCCTTGTGCGGTTAGGACCAGGATAATGATACGCCAACTCACTCAATATAAGAAGCGGGACAGAACCCGGAGCATCTTCTTCCACAAGCTAGCCAAATCCTCCCAGATTTTACAGGCAAATGAAAGCCATGTCTTCATAAGATAGGCAATGGGCATAGTGTCGGTGCATAGTGATGCCATGAGATTTTCAAGTCAGCTAATGATAAACAAATTTAGCTATGGAAGCATAACAGCCTAGCTATTGAAATCCTGTCGACGGCATTGCATCATTCAATCTGACGAAATCTCATCAACTAGCAAATAACCAGAAAGTCCAACTTAAGGTGTAGCGGCGCCGAGGCGCCGAAGATGCGCACGACTCCGGGGTGCAAGCGCCGTCGGTGTCACAAGCATGTGCATTTTGCGTTTATTGTGCCATTTAACAGAAAGTTGTTTTTGTTGTTCAGCTAAAATGTGCAAAAAGTTGTTTTCATCAAGTTTGCATTGTGTATTGTAATTTACGGCTTTATTTCACTTAATATGTTGACTAAACAAGTACCGTAAATATGTCCGTTTTTGGCCGATACTTTGTTTGGCGGTATCACCACCTGTCTGCGCTGTGATTGCGATACAGTCGAAACCATTGCATTGCATTGCATTGCATTGCATTGCCACATCGCATTAGAAGAGAATATAAATTGGTATCACGAACAGGCAGCGATGCGTTTAAGACGACGCGAGGAGCGCAGGCGGGAACAGTTTCGACTGTATCACACTGTATCGACAGTGTGACAAGTCGTGTGTCGAAAACTACAGTTTCGACTGTGTCGACAGTTTTGACTGTCGCACACTGAAGTGACAATTTCGACTGGGTCGAACTATCGACTCATTGATGCGACATTTTAGACTATTTGCAAGAAGTTGAAATGACAGTTTCGTCTACGTTGAAATGACTGTCGTTTGTACAGCGCCCGAGACCCGTTCGACTTCATTCGTCTCGGCGCTAGTGGATCGTCGTACCGGCGGCTGTCTGATGTCGGCCTGGAATCGCCGCCGCTGCAGCGTCAAGTCAGGGATTGAAAAACGCTAGTCTCGGCTTGCCGGTACGTTGGCTCTCGTGCAAAAGGCTGAGTGGGGTCAGTGACCCTGTTGAGCTCGATAGGCTTGTGTCTTGTCATGTAAGGCGGCTTGTATTGCCGATCGCATTGGTGTTTGAAAGGTACGTTTCGCTTGTATCATACGTACCGTTTGAATCATGAATTTGTCGCGGCTGACAGTGCAATTGTTAAGGGCACAGCTTTTGGCTAGAAATCGTAATGCCAAAGGCACTAAGGCTGTACTTGTAAAAAGGTTAGGGGAAGCTCTTCAAGAGGAAGGCATTGATGTTACCCTATTTGTTGCTCGCCTAATCGGTAACTCTGTGACCGGGGAGGGTCAGAATGATGAACGTCAGGTAGGTCAGTCAGCTGCTTCGGCTACCAGTCCTGTCGTGACCAGTCTCGTCGACGGAGGCTCGAGGCCCAGCCAATCAGATATTGCTATTGACGCTGTAGATCCCGAGGATTGCTGCATTGAGATTTCTGGTGCTGGTGCTCGTTTGCGGGCCTCCGCTGCTGGTCAGGACGTTGTTCGGGACCCGGTAAACCAGCGGGCTGTCTGTCCTGATGAAGATGTGCGGCCAGCTGACAGTGCTTCCCATGATGGTGGGTCCGTCTTGTCTCGGGGAAGTGCAAGATCATCACTGGCTTCGACGAAGGCCCAGGAGTCAGCTAGACGAGCTGCTCTGAAAGTGAAGATGAAGTTCCTAAAAGAAAGGCAGATGTTGGAGCTTCGTGAGCAGGAACTGAAGATGAAGAAGGAGGAATTGAAGCTGCGTGAAGCCCTTGAAGAATCTGAAGCCTTTGAAGCCGCGCTTTCAGAAAGCGGGCCTAACTCGACTGTTTCAACGGCTGTTGGAGGAACCGGTAACAGCACCCAGGAAAGGATTTCGCCCATTTCGAGACCGGCCACTCCCCCTCCGGCACCAGAAGCTAGACGTACCGAGAACGAGGATCATCAGGCGAGCTTGATGAAGAAGTTGCTCACCTCGTGTGTTCTCCCAAAGCCAGACATTCCCGTGTTCTCAGGCGATTTTGCCAGATTCCACCAGTTTTTGAGAGCGTTTGATGGACGAGTCGCTAGCGTGGTCGTCGATGAGGAAGAGAAGCTTCGCTATTTGGAGCAGTTTACGTCTGGTACACCAAGAGACATCGTACGGGGATGCATGTTCATGAAGACCGGTGGCTATGAGGAAGCGAAGAGGCTATTGATGAAGAGGTATGGCAACCCTGACCGGATGGCTGAGTCATTCATCGACCGTCTGGTGAACTGGCCACTTGTGAAGGCTGATGATGTCGCCGGACTCGACAAGCTCGCGGTAGAGATGAGAACCTGTCACAACGCGGTGGACAGTCTGATGGGAGCCAGCCATGAGCTGAACCATCCAAAGACAATGAAGAATATTTTGGAGAAGGTGCCCTTCGCAATTCAGGAAAAATGGCGGAGAGAAGTTGACCGTCTGGCAGAAGGAGATGGAAGGTCTGCACTATTCTCTGATCTGGTCAGCTTGATTGAAGTAGAAGCTAGAATAGCTTCGAACGCTGCCTTCGGCCGTCAAGTCTTTCTCAAGAAAGACGTATCAAGAACTGATAAGCCTCAGGAGACCAAAGCCAAGTGCAACTACATCAAAACCAAGGACATTGGAACCGAAAAGAAGACATGTGTACTGTGCAATAATGAGCACAACTTGTCTGCGTGCCCAATTTTTGCAGAGAAACCATTGGTGGAAAGAGAGAAGCTCGTTCGTCAGCACGTGCTCTGCTTCGGATGTCTGGAGGCGGGTCACAGGTCCAGATGGTGTAAGTCCCGTCTGACATGCATGGTGTGCGGGAAGGGCCACCCATCTGTGCTCCATAGATACCAGACGGCGACGGTCAGTCACGATAGCCCGCCGATGACTCTATCAAGTGACAAGCAGGCGCCGCAGGCAGCAGCAAATGTCCTCTCTTCTAGAAAAGAAGGACAGTCAGGTATGAAGATGCCGATCGTTCCTGTGAAAGTGAAGTATCAAGGTGGGACTACTGTACAGACTTATGCCTTTCTCGACAACGGTAGCTCATCCACCTTCTGCAGTCAGTTGTTGTTGGACAAGCTAGGGGTGCCCACCTCGGCGAAGACCAAACTCTCCGTCCTCACCGTGGCCAGGGATCCGCTCAACGTCTGGACGGCTACCATTGAGGGCTTATCGATATGTGGCATAAGCGACGAAAGTGGCCCCGTTGACTTACCTGAGGTGTTCTCGTTGGGAAGCATCCCAGCCAGCCGGGAGGAGGTCTGTAGAGTTGACGATCTCTCCGACTGGCCGCACTTGCAGGAAGTCGTCCCGCCTGACATACACGC